TTGTTGAAGATTATTGATTGATACGTTGGGTTTTACGTCCCAAAACTACCATATGATTATGAGAGACGCCGTGTTGAAGGGCTCTGGAAATTTTGACTACCTGGGGGTTCACCCAAATCTGAAAACGCGCGGGCCTACAGCACTTTCGCCTCCATCGAAAATGCAGCCGCCACAGCCGAGATTAGATCCCGCGACCTGCGGGTCAGAAGCCGAGTACCTTAGCAACTAGACCCCCGCGGCGGGGCTGTTGAAGATTATTGGTTACGTTAAGTCTCTAGTAAATACCCAATCTCATAATGTGTTTATCAATCAGTTTTTATAAAGTGGATCAGTGCGATTTACTCTCTGTAATCATTTAGATATCCCTATGCTTAAATTCATGACTAATCCTAAATAATGGGCATGTGTTAGCTGATAGCAGCAGTCTCATGTTTGTGTGGTGTCTTTACTTCATTTTTGTGTCCGCGTTTGCACGTCCTGTCTTTTAGAATGAACACCACAAGGTAACGCAGCGTTAATAAAAAATACTGCGCGCACCAACTAATAAACGATGCATGCCGTTTAGCTCAGCGAAACCAGTAGTTTTATTATGCGGCTCGCAAAGCCCTTGCGTACTGTGGCCTCACGAGGTGATCGTGATATATATATATATATATATATATATATATATATATATATATATATATATATATATATATATATATATATATATATATATATATATATATATATATATATATATATACCTGCCAAAAACCGTATTGCGGATATGCATAGAGAGTGAAGGACGGAACCGGAGTACAGGTGTGCTATTTTTCCGGCCTCCACGTTTTCCTGCGTTTCTCGCGCTGTCCTTGGGCTGTAACCTGTTGCTCGAAAACCACCGCAACATTCCAACTAGAAGCGTACTGCATAGCACGTCTCAGTGCATAGTCAAGACGAGGGGCAATGCACAACGTGGTACTAAACGTTGCCATTTTAAAAGCTTGATTTTCAGCATGGCATAGGCAGTTTGACGCCAAAGTGAAGTTTATCGTTGTCTCCGAGGTGGACTATTACGAAGACTGGCCACCGTTCCGGCATGCGTATGATAAACGCAGACAATCCCAAAAACTACCAAACTTTTCGCTTAGACCGCCCCTCTCAAGGTGTTGGTTTAGCAGTGTTTATCTCTTCGAAAATTGCGCATCGGGTAAAAGTTAGAAATGAAATAATGAATTTAGAAAGTGAAATTTTAATGTTAGATATATCTGTTCCTGGATACCTTCGCTTTTTGTTAGTAAACGCTTATTTTCTATCAGGTGGTTAAAATTCTATCGTTTTAAATACCGCAAATTCGTCTTGCAGAAAAGACATAATATTGGTAGAAGACTTCAATACTCATCACACTTAGTGTGGATTCAAAACAAATATGAGTGGAAAGCGTTTGTGGGATTTCGTTGCTAAAAATATTTTAACATGAATTAACCAGCGAACCCTCACATTTGGGTGCAATCAGCCTCATTCTGCGATTGATCTTACTTTCTGTAGTCCTAGCTTCTGTATTTCTTCATGGTAAACTTTGAACTCGGGTACCAATAGCGACCATTTTCCTATATTGTTTGAACTTGTATGTCCCGTGACTTCAGTAATCAGACAGCTTACTTCTCACATCAATTACAATACATTCGAACAGACACTACCTGTGACTTTGTCAAAAGGAACTGAGAAAAATGAAGAGCGGAATGTTATCAACTTCAATGATGTTATAAAACAATCTTTAAAAACAGCTAAATTCCCAGTTCAGGTCTATAAACAACATCCTTTGAATCATTGGTGGAACTCTGATTGTTCACGTCAGTACAGGCTAAGAAAAGAGGCGTAGCGAAAACTGCTCTATAATCAGAGCCGTAGAAACTGGAGCGATTATAAATACGCGGCTGCAGTTTTTAAGCGAACAGTTGCCGCTGCGAAGAATTACTATGATAGCAAACGTTCCGAGTTCCTTTCAAAGCCTGGCCATAGGAAATCACTTATCAACTTCCTTAAAGCCAAAAACGTAATCCCGCCGCCAACAAACCTCAACTCGATCGTCTCAACGCCAAGTGAGTTGCCTACTTTTCTGGAAAATATTGCTCAAGGGCTGGAAAGCCGCTTCACGGCTGCTCCCTTTTACCACTCACAGTGTCCAGTTAAAAGCGATGACTTTGAAGAGGTTGCAGCGTCGGAAATAGCACAAGTTGTGAAAATATTGCCCAATTCTGCTCCCGGTCATGATGTATGAACTGCATCGGTAATAAAAGTCGTCCATAAAGTATCACCCCAGGATTTACTTGCAATAGTTAATCACTCCATTAGACATTCGTGGATTCCGCTCGAGTGGAAAATCGCGAAAATATTTCCTCTATTAAAGAAAACATGGATCTGGGTTTACAGTGGATAACATTAGGCCTATTTCACTCACATCTAATCTGGTAAAGCTAACCGAAAAAATTCTACACAGTAGCATAGACAACTGGCTGGCCGAAAACAACTTTAAGCCCATGTCAAATCAAATTCAGGTACGGCTGCTCCATTTGGTGTGCCCATGTTGATTTGGAAAGCAGGATACAACTAGCTCGTTCTAATAAACAGGTTGGCGCCTGAGTAACTTTAGATATTGCAAAAGCTTATGACAGTGTGGAACACATTAAACTAATAAATTCGCTAGCACACATCGGTTTATCAAATTATTTCGTGGCATGCGTTCAATACTTTCTAAAAGATAGAGAATTTTATTGCTCTCAATTTGACGTGTCTTCTTCAAAGTATAAACAAACTAGAGGTCTCCTCCAAGGCTTGGTACCGTCACCATTATTATTTAATGTTTAATTGTGCACAATTCCAGTACAACATGATGTACATGTGTATGTATAAACTGACGATATCGCATTTTTGCTACAGCTGCAGATATAGATACACCATATCAGATGCTACAGTTTTATATGAACTCTCGACACATGGTTAGACGATATTATTCTATCAGTAAACATTAGGAAAAGCGCGATCGTAGTTTTTCCGATAAGTGTTCCAGTGCAGATTTCCGCACTTTACAGACAGGACTTCACCCCGCAGGTGAAATTGATTAAACGCTTAAGAGTGACTTATGTTGAAAACCTAAATTGGAGTCCGCATATAGAAAATATGGCAGCTGAAGGAGCACGGACGCTTGGGATGCTTTATATACTCGGCAATAAATGTTCCGGTTTACGTCGTGATTTCTGGTCATGATATATTGCATGTATATTCACTCGATATTGGAGTTTGGTTGTGTCTTATTTTCTGGAGCAGCCGCCTACAAACTTCAGCACTGGTACTTCTAGAACGTGAAGCATCACGATCATGTCTTGGGCTCCCTAAATTTGTCGCAATTATTATTTCATATAAAGAAGCGCGCCTGCCTTCTCTTAGTTCTAGGTTCCAAATACTAGGAGTTCGTACCTTCCTAAAAATAAACGCATCCCCACAGAGGAGGTCGCAATATGTTTTCATTAAGAAGCCGACGTCTTCTTTTAACCAACAGTGGTCTAGATTAAGGCGCCCACAAGTCATCATAGTACAGAAGCTTTTGGAAACATTACAAGTTAAGCTTCGTAAGGTATTGGTACTAAGAGCACCTATTCAAATAAAGAAAGTAGAATTTGATAATAATTGGAAAAATAATAATTATAATTATAATTATAATAATAATAATAATATTAATTGGAAAAAAACTACCCAGTAGACACCCAAATGCCATGTTAAAAGACCACCTGGCAAGATTAGAAATAAAAATTGTAATACCAACTGATGCTTCAGTTTGTGAAGGAAAGGCTGGAGTCGGGATTGGATCTTCAGGACTGGATTGTCTTTTTCAATTCGTTTACTCGATTTTACACCTATTTATCAAGCGGAATCGCTTGCAATTCTCTTAGCATTACGGGCATTGCCCCAATCCATAACAGATGCTATCATTCTTTCAGTCTGCCTGCCGGCGAACCTTTCGAATAACCCGGTTTTCTTAGGGCGTGGGACCCATCAGCCGGCGGCCTTCACATGTGAGGGAAGAGCCACTTTGTTGCCACGGGTGCAGAGTGCGGTGGCCAAGCCAAAGACTTTGACCTGGGCGCGTTTGCGTGACACCTTTGGATTCAGTGTGTCCTCCGATTGGACAGAGCAATTGGGATCCATTCCCTCACCTACGGATCTTGAAGAAATGGTCGTCATAATCACCCCTCGTGGGCTCTTTCGAACCATGAACGTCATAATGTAACGACATCGTCATGACATAGCAAATTATTCATCCCGCCTCACGAGATCATCATGCAACCAAGTGCTCGCCATGTAAGCACTGTAAACGCACATCTGTACAATTCTCTTGAGTCTCTTCATGGTGCCTCGGCATTTTTCTCAGGGTCTCCAGCGCCTGCAAAGGTCGGCCGAAACACTGGACACGTCTGCACCAAGGAGGATTAAAAAAATTTGCTGGAGTGGAAGCTCCCAACGCCTTGCCAGCAGAAGTGAAGCCAGCTTTTGCCACTGCAAAGATGGCGGAAACATGCTCTTTTCTGATAATGTCCACTTAATGATCAAATGGCTTTGATATGTTAGTATAGCTTCTATGTTAGTTCTATATTAAAAGATAGTTGTTCCCGACGAAATAACACACACAGAAATGAGTATGGGTGACTGAACTGTGCCTCCAATCAGAAACTCGCCAAGGAAAACTAGTAACACTAAGACGCACTTGGTGCACTGTGTGACCCGAAAAAGTTTCCACATTACACTCGTTGGCCGTGCGAGGAATGCGCTCTGTTCTTAATCGCTTAACGGTGATACTTTACCAAGCCCCTAGTAAGATGGCCGCCGCAGCCGCCATCTTGCCAGAGGCACGGCTTCACTCCTAGGCAATGATTTCCATCCCAGCAATTTTTTTAATCCTCCTTGGTCTGCACATGGCACAAAAGATTCCCACAGAAAAAAAACACACATAAAGCAGCACATGCTGCGATAACGTAACTTTATTAGGAAATATAGAGAAGAGGGAAGAAAGGGGGAGAAAATAATGAGCTCACCTATAGACAGGTGCCAGAAATGTGGTATCGTACAAAATGAGCTCGTCCATCAAAAACTGTGACAGAAAGATGAGCGACACGCGTTGCCGAGAAAAAAAAAATATTCCCCGAGTCAAAAGAAAATGAAAGAGGCAAAAAATGACGAGACAACAAAAACAATGATAATTAAGCCCAACGAAAGCCGTCTCTTTTGGTGAACCTTTCAATTCTTCGACGAAGCTTGCGTCTTCTTGCTCCAGAGCTTCAACTGCGCATAACACAAACAGATGACATCAGATCAGAGCTGCGTTCCACAATCTCTTAGCACTGCATAGCACTGCGGAGACCGAAAAGCTATTGCCGAAACCACACCGAAAATAGTATGGGCATTTCAAATAAAACTGTGTTCAGCCCTACAATACGAAGTGGGAAATGCAGACAAGAGAAACGGTGGATTGACATTGTAGTTTAATTTCAAGTTTGAACAAAAAATTATATGAATTTTTAGCATGACTTTGACATGGTGTATTGAAATCCACCTTTAGCTCTTTACCTCCTTGGGGCCCTGCAACTCCTTTTCGTATACATGACCGCAAAACTCTGCTGATCGGTAGCCGACGCCTGGCCATGTGAGCCAAATATTAGAGCACGTACAGCACATGCAGGGCAGGAAACTTACAATTGCGCTTTAACAACGTTCTTTTTGTTCCCTGTCTTTTATATTTTTTTTCCTTGTTTGTAACCTTGCGACCCGTCTTTCGAACGCTTAATCCGTACTACGAATTCCTCAGATGCCCTAATTGCTGCAATCGATTGGCGAAGCAATACCACTAGTGACGTCACACGATGGCTAGGATAAAAAGTCTCCTAGGGCCTCTTTAATGTGCACCTAGATGTTTTGCGTTTCGGTTCTATGGAAATGAAGCCGCAGTTAATAGAAATCAAACCCGAGTCCGAAACCTTAATCAGCATAAGCGTGCTTGGAGCTGCACAGCCTTCTGCAGACGTGTGGTTATCCATCCATTCGAAAGCTCCCACGCGCTTGGTGTGAACCACTCCACATTTCTCCGCCCCGTATATGTCTCTCCGAATTTGCGATTTCACGCAACGCGGCTATCGAGTGATCACGCTAACACGTGCCTGCCGTTAGTTTGCTCTTGTGTGCGCGCGTTTCCACCAAATTTATGCAAGTGGCACCTGGGTCGGCTGTGCTAACGAGCAAGAACCATACCGGCGGATTAGGGCAACGCATTCAACATGCGCTCCTTTCATCTCGCCGACAACCGAAGAACTGCAGTTGAGAGAAACTGGCAACTTCGTTACGGAGGGACGCGCACTTATATATGCAGTGTCTATCACAGCATTGAACGCGGGCGCGGAAACCATAGGTTCGTGGAATAAATGCACGGTATGCTCAACTTACGGATATACATTTTTTTCTCACGCACACAGACCTTTTTTCCAGCACTACAGCGGTGTTTTGCATGGACAATTTGGCTCAATATCCTGAGGTCAAGTGCAACCACTGAACATTTAAATAAAATGCCCGTTCCAGGCAAGAGTGGACTGCCATGAAACAATAAATCAGAGTGCATAGATGAACGTTATAGTTTTTAAGCGCTCTACGAGCACTAGGTTTGCCATCACAACAGCATTTTTCAGAATAGGAATTGAAGGTCAAAGTTTCACGTTCACACATCACACCGAAACTTCAGCGCTGAACGAATGTGCGACTTGACTAGTTTCGATGTCCTTTTGCGTATTTTAGGCGCATTGTTTCTATTATATTTTTTGAAAACAAGCTGTGTTAAGACCCTGGTCCCTCAGAACACAATGTAAACAGTTTTTACCGATGAACGATGACTAGGCTCTTGCGCACAACGTAAATATTTACGACTTCATGGCGACTGGTGTGGGAAGTTCAATGTGGCATCGCCATCCACAATACTTTCTTCTTTTTTTTTCAACGGCTTTCCCCGCTTACCAAGCGTATCCTCAGAATAAGTATAACGTGTTTTCGTAATTTTAAAGTGTAATTAACTCGTGTGAACAAAGTCATTTGTCTTTTTGTGCCCCTTTAGGACGAACCTATTGGTCTAGACTCAAAATCGACGGGTTCACTTCATACAAACATCTGTCTTCATCACGAGAAAAGCTGCAGATGCGTATGCAGGGCGGTCTATAGATGCATCAATCTGGCACTAACACCGACCATACACCAATATGGACCAACCTGGCACTGCTCACTGCAGAAGGTCTGCGTCCTGCAGCAGCTGCAGACGAACTTGACTCGCGGGTCACCGCAGTTGACGCAGACTAGCCCCGCTTGCAGCCAGGACATCTCAGGCGCCGAAAGCTTAGGTTGAAGGGAGAGCAGCTCGGTAGGCAGGCCTGCCTGCATGCTGGCCTGCACGACACAACAAACCAGAGATATGCTGTCAGCCTGACGTTGAAGTCAACTTACTTCAAAATTGTGTAAGCAATGCATGCCCGTTATGCTATGGCTACACTAGTTTATTTATTTGTTAATATTGCCAATTCCAAAGGAATTACGGTAGTTGGATGCAAAAGTTCAGAAATTGTGATACAATGGCAACAATTTTTTTACAAAATGCGAAATACGAGTGATTACTAAAATGAAAATGTAGAGAAAACAGGCCCGCATATATAGGCATGTATAGTAGCCTATGATCAGCCTGACGTTGAAGTCAACTTACTTCGAAATTGTGTAAGCAATGCATGCCCGTTATGCTATGGCTACACTAGTTTATTTATTTGTTAATATTGCCAATTCCAAAGGGATTACGGTAGTTGGATGCAAAAGTTCAGAAATTGTGATACAATGGCAACAATTTTTTTTACAAGATGCGAAATACGAGTGATTACTAAAATGGAAATGTAGAGAAAACAGGCCCGCATATATAGGCATGTATTGTAGCCTAATGACAAGTTTGGCAGAGCGAAGAAACACGGTACAAAACAGGAGAGACTTGGACAATCTTTTTTCTGTCTCCAACCTATCTTCATTTAACGCTGGAGAACAGATCTAAGTAAGGGTACAGTCAAATATTCCCATGTGTGTTAACGCACATTGTGTATATCGTGTACCGTGTTTACGTGCAGCAGTTGCCAGTTGAGCTATACTAAGGTAGACAACCGGAAACAACACGTATAAGTTATGTTAAATGAAAAATATGGCCCTCAAAGATTTACCGAAGAAGAATACGCTTAACCATATCTCATAGGAGATGAGGCAATTTGTAAAAGAAAAATTCAAATCAAACTTTAAAAAAAGATGACATGCCATGTTCGCGACGTGCTATGGATGCACAAGGCTCTTGGGCGGATTGCATAATTTACTGGTAACAAAGCGGCAGAAAAAAATATGGAGTGACAGAAAGAATTCTGGCACCAAAAATTAAATAGTAGATGCATTTGGCTGACTGGGAAGGCGGGCAATCACCACGGTTTGATCAAATGCAATCGGCCTGAATCCTGCTTACAATTTAGTTGCCACCCGAGTATATGGTTCAAAATTACAAACATGAAATTCTTTTAATGGATGACGATACAACATTTATTGAAAAAAGATAAAATAAAATTTTCAAAAAAAGGAGGAGCACGCACGCAGGGCGGGAAGTTGAAAATATCAGCGCACAACCCGAGTCAGCAGATGCGAAGTTGTTGCAAATATCATAAAAGTGAATGCTCCACAGAAACAGCAAACACAAGCTCAGGGGTCGAAGACATCGTAAAAAGGCGCCGGTTTGTGGCTTACTGTCCTCTCCGCTAATACACACATATAATGACATTGAAAATTGCTTAGAATGTAAAAGCCATATGAACTGCATAGATACCTGAATGAGCCTGGCATTGACCATTTCATTCATGATGACCTGCAACAAGCTAAGTCGAGGGCTGTTCCAAAGACTATTTATTAACTGCCACCACGATTTTTGAACCCCACGCGTTTGTAGAGAAATATTCCGCATGTTTCGTGTAACACAAAGTGGGCGCTTACTTCAAATATGGTGCTATTCTACAAACATAAGCTAAACAGCAAAAGCATGTGCCAAAGCACCGTTTGAAAAGGCTCGCTATGATCGCCAGCTAGCAGCAAGATTCGCGAACGAACTAAGGACTACGCAGCGAGGGTGTTTGGTGTCGCCGTGCCTTTCGCTTGACAGCCTAAACAAGAAGAGGATCACCTTTACTAAGTCAACAAGACCTATACGTAACTGTACAATGCTGTGGAAACGAGGCGCACTCACCGGACTCTCCTTCTGCAGTAGGTGACTGATGTGCTCCCAAGCAGTGGGCCTGTTTTTGGTGGCTTGCTCGAGCAGTGCCTTCTGGTACAGCTGCTGCTGTTGCTGCTGATGTTGCTGCTGCTGCTGACTAGGCATGTTCTGCTGCTTCATCTTCTCAAGGAGCGCGGACGCCTCGGCCTGCGCTAGCGCGGCCTCCTTGTTGACGCGAAGCTGCTGATACAGGCTGTACGCCATGGCCTGATTATACATGCTGGCGGCAGCAGATAGACCGGCACGGCCGAGTGGGTATGCGCCAGCAGCCGCCACTGCTGCTGCCGCAGCAGCCGCGTTGACACCGGCGAGCGATCCACCAGACCCAAGAGCCAGATTAAATTCCTCCTGATGTCGGGCCAATTCGGCAGCCACGTCCCTGGTGTCCTCTGACCTTGACACCAGCGGCCGCAGCTGCTTCGGCAAGACGTCGGTGATGAGATGTTCTCGACATATCGCTGGCTAGGCCAGCCAGCGTGTCGGGTCGTGACAATGATGATATGCTTCCGGCGGCGCTGCTATGCGGTTTAGTGAGAGAACTGGGCACAGAAGCGGCCTTTAGGAGAGCAGCAGTCGATGAAGACGAAGCATACTCCCGAAGGGCGTCACGCTGCAGGTGATGAGGTAGGCCGGCTGTCAAGGAGAGAGGTGCACCGTTCGGGGTGTTCCACCAGCTAGACACAGCGGCTGCAGCGGCCGCGGCGGATGGGGAAACCATGCTACTAAGTCCCCGTGAGGTGGGCGTTTGAGCAACCGGAGCAGCGGCAGTCGGAGCCGCGGAAGGCCCTTTGGGAAGCAGCAGCCTGGGAGCCCTCTGACTCGAGGCAGCAGCCGCAGCGGCTGAGGAGGAAGAAGAAGGTGACGTCGATGATGCCGACGGGACGCTGAATGCCGATTTGGAAGGTACCGATGATGGCACAGGCCTCGGCGGCCTGTTGTCGCCGCCACGAGGTGAGACCGAGGAGCGAGTCACAGATGCCGAAGCAGGCGCAGTCGATGTGGCACCGTTTCTGTCGTACGGCATGAGACCTCGGCCGGGAGAGTCGCGTTCGGAGCCGGAGTTTGCCCGTAGACGATGTGGTGCCGGTGTTCCTGCGAGGAGAGGGATCGACAAAGCAGGGGAGTGCTGCGTCTGCTGCTGCGACTGCACGGCCGGCTTCTTCAGAAGATGTGGATCGGCCTCGCTTGGCAAGCTGATACCTAGCGATGCGAGATCCGCGGTAGCCGTGGCGGCCTGCGCGACGATGCTCGGAACGTCCGTGAATCCAGGACTTTCACTAGATTCGCCGGAGCCAGACTCGGTAGCGAAGGCGCTGACGGCGGAGCATATTCCGGGGTACTTGCTCTCGAGCTGCTTCAGAGCCTCTTCTTTGGCTGAACGCAAGCTGCTGATGCATGCAAGCTCTTTCTCCTTGTACGTGGCCAATATGGTGAGATGGTGGATCTGCTTTTTGAGCTCCACTATTTTCGACTCGAGCGTAGTCATGCCTAGGTTGTTTTCCGGAAAGCTCATAGGCGGTACGGAAGCCATGTTGGACGTTTTCGCTAATGATGACTGCTGTTGATGATGCTGTTGCTGTAGTTGCTGCTGTTGCTGTAGTTGCTGTTGCTGCTGTTGCAGCTGCTGTTCCTGATGCCTCGCCGTGAGGCGGGCGTTCAGGAGGGACTTGGCTTCGTTCGCGACGTCTGTTTCGCGTCCTCGTTTGGCAGAGTCTTTGGTCGGTTCGGCCGAGCCGCGGGCATTGCGAGGCTCAAGAATGACCTGGACGGGAGATGAGGCGGCGCTAGAATCGCTTTCCTTTGGTTTTCGACTAGGGTCCAGCAGAAGACGCTGCAAAATAGAGTCCGACGGCGGCTCGCTGGTGCTCGAGGTTCCCGCGCCGCCCTGGGACCCGTTGCTTGAGTTGCTATCGGAGCTGTGGGCTCCGCGCCTTTCGCGTTCCTTGGAGCGGGCAACTTCCTCGGCGTGCGCGGCCGCGACGTGCCGAGAGGACGATGAGTAGTTGATGGGAGAGTTGGCTGGCGCCTCCTGCGACGCAGACTGACTAGTGGTGGCCATTTGCGGTTGCACCTTGCCCACAGGAATGTCCGCTTTCGCTCTAAACGATTGCTCTGCAAGAAGTGGAAAACAAACAAAAAAAGCACCGATTGCGTGAGCTACGCAAGAATATGGAAAACTGGGGAACCGAAATTACGTCGTGTGCCAAGTTACGGAAGCCTTCAAAACAGCCGCGCGACATTGTTTATGATCCCGTGCTCTGACGTGCCCTCCAAGCAGACCTCAATAAAGACCGATCGGGGTCTCTCTCGCCGAGGCAAATTTGCTCTTTGTGTGCCGCTGAGGAGAGAGACCGTGAACGCGACTCATCTAGGTTATCCCGCTCGAATTGGCACACGCGTTTCTTTTTATCGCGGACATGTTGACAGGCCGCCAGATAAGAGTGTTTGCTTGCCGCGCGCGCTAGTCTAACAACGCTTCACAGAACAGATGCCGGTCGGTCCTTCAGAGGCCTGTCTGCTTATACCATGAAGGGGAAAGGTTCCAGCGCGCAGAGAAACGAGGCCATCTTTGCCAAAGAAAACCAGAGACGGACATTGCACCAGAGACGGACATTGCGTTATGTCAAAGAAAACATTCGCCGCCTTAGCAGGCTACGCTGCTTAGAAGTTTCGCCTTTCGAGCTTGTCCGTAAGAGATGACCCACGATTGGAGTGCTTTGGCGGAATCATCGCAAACTTAACCCGACATCCACTGCTAAGTGGTGTTGTGCAGACATCTCTGTGGCTGAATTCACTGATTAAAACTTCAATGAATCTACATCTGTATACTATATGTAAGCCGACTTATCGGCAAAGAAGCGGCTGGTTATGTGGCCTAAAATTATTCAAAACTCTTACAATGTTATCCTAAGGCTAAAATACACCTGTATCCTCTACTTCCTCATTGGATGAATATTCAGCCTATCACGTGATGAGCACACAAAAAACGCCATAGGTTAAGACTGCTCAGTGCAAGCCAGGAGAAGTATACACAAGGCCAGCGCGGCTCCCAACTGTTTCGATTTATCGTTTACCTTGAAATTGCTTTCGGTTTATCACTTACCTTGAAATGAACAGCATGGCGGAGAGCAATTACGAACACTTTTCGCAGCGCATGCTTTAGGTAAGAAAGTTTACTGTTAATAATACTGTTATTGACCAATCTCGCTACCACTATTCTAAAAATTCGGCAGATTCCCCTTACCTTGGGAATCGACGTTATGCGAATCATGCGAATGGAATGTGAATTTCTTGTAGTTTTTTTAATGAGCGAGATCTGTCAATTTTTTTTGAACGGTAGTTGTTGCAGAGTGGACTATAAACAAGCTCGTTCGGTTGACGCATGTGTTTCGTACATCATACCAGCATGTATTAGCGTCTTCTCAGAATAAATTTAAGCAGTTGGCCGGCAACACTGGCCCTACGTTAACATTCGCGCTTCTTTCGTACTGTTTTTACTGAAATTCAACGGAATTTATAATGCGAATTTTGTATTGTTCAACAACGCACAGAAGAAATTTTTCACCGGCACCACCTTGGAGGTCAAAATGTATGACTGGTTACACACTACAACTACGAGGGACGAACGGGTGCCGCTGTAAGGAGCTTCGCCCCTAAAATTCGCAGCGTGCGCGTTAACTAAAAGCCGAATTCTCCTGTCTCTCATTCCCCCTTAGCAGCCATTGCCATGTACATTGAGCACTATCTGACAAGAAAGGCTTGCTACGTTATACTCGCTGGGCATAACCTCCTTGGTTTTAGAAAGGTTTAGCGAGCGTTGGGCCGCAGTGCCATGAATACAGTGAACTAGTATATACCCTGAACTCGAGGTGGTTAAAGGTGGGAAGTAGACACGAAGCGCAAGCCGTAAGAAAGTGTGCTGTGCCACCTCTCGTTTAGTCCTTGGAATGTCCGCTGGATGGCTGTGCATAAGCGGAATATATGATGAAAAGATGCGAGATGGTGGTATATACTGAATAGATGAACGAACGGCCACACAGACAGATGCATGGACGGACTCACGGATGGCTGCACCGACGGATGGACGCATGGACGGACGCAGGGGCGGATGCATGGCCGAACGCAGGGACCGACGCACAGATGGACGTGCGGACGCACGAACAGACGCACGCACGGACGGGCGAATGGACGCGCGGACGGTGACACAGACGGACGCATGGACGGACGGAAGCAAGAACGAATGGACGGACGGATGCTTTTCCCCACTCTTCATCATTCACTTCGTGGATATGCTGCTATTTTTAGATGCGGAAGCATCTTATACTCGCGCCTTGTAGTGCGCCGTCCGCGCCGTCCGCACCGCTTCTCGAACATTCGACAGCTGACGCGCGCGCATGCGCCGTCGCGCCGTCGCCCACTCTTCCACCATCTGTGCATCCCTTCCTCCTCTACACACCGCGCGCGCTTCACTCCTCCACCATCTGTGCATCCTTCCTCCTCTACACACCGCGTTCGACATCTACAATTCTCCTGATTCTCCAGTGGACGCGCATGTGGCGTCGCGCTTCGAGAACATTCAACAGCTGACAGTGCATGCGCCGTCGCGCTGTATATATACTCATGGTCGGCGCTCGCTCGCTCAGTTGCCGCTCGTCGGTTGGTTTGTACGGCGCGTCGACGTCCAAGGTCGCGGTGAAATGAATTCCAACGAATCCACAAACACAATGATCGACGTCCCTTCGACCAGCGCCACCCTTTCGCATACGTGTGTACGTGTTCACTCATTTAACACCCCCTCCTACAACCACGTTAACCAATTTAGCCATCGACCCAAGTAAGTCGCAATTTAACACCCCATTTCACAACCACGTTAACCAATTTAGCCATCGACCCAAGTAAGTCGCACTTTAACACCCCGTTAACCAATTATATGCTCCGCATCCTCCTCAGTGTTCCCCCGAGGGAAGCTGCGGGCAATTTTTTTGTTACCATTGCAACGGCAGTCCCTAACACGCTGGACGTAACAGGCAATATGTCAAGGGCTTTCAGTTCATTTCATTGGGAAGCCTTCCGACGTCAGAGGGCGAGGGAAACACAGTAAGGTGAGCCTGCGAAAATGGAGTTCAGAGTAAGCACCCATTTTATTGTATTTTGATATCTCTACGCTGAATAAATTTACACTGCGTGGCCCTATCGCTGCCATTCTTGCGGCACTTATCTCTTAAGCCATCAGTGTACGCAACCAACTATAGAAAAAACACGTGACTATGAATGCTTGATTAATTGATATGTGGGGTTTAACGTCCCAAAACCACCATCTGATTATGAAAGACGCCGTAGTGGAGTGCTCCGGAAGTTTATACCACCTGGGGTTCTTTAACGTGCACCTCGATCTGAGTACACGAGCTCACAGCATTTCCGCCTCCATCGGAAATGCAGCCGGCGCAGCCGAGATTCAAACCAGCGACCTGTGGGTCAGCAGCCGAGCACCCCAGCCACTAGACCACAACGGCGGGTCACACCAACACTGATCGATTGTTATATCTTGACGTGCAGAAGCAACGGCTCGGAGGTTTACGCATTTTACTTTGCCTAACAAGAAGAAAACCGCAGTTCACAGGAATGGACACAGCGCTATGGGTAGCTCGGAATTTCGATGCGCGTAGGGATGTTTACAAGTTTGGAAGCTACTCGGGCACACCATATAATGTTTACTAAATGAAATAAAAACACGGGCGCGATGCTAATCACAATCCCAATCAGAAATCGTACACTGCGATATTTATAGCGCAACCTAAACACAACGTTAGGCCACCGCATCAAGTTGCACAAGACATGCATATTAGATACGCACGATAAGTAGAAATGCCATTTCGTATCGCGGCAAAAGCGTGGGCGCAGATTATGCTGGTCTGCCTCGCAGTGTTTACTTCCCCGATTGCTAAACATCGCTCGGCCGTACTTTTTCGAAAGAAGAACGAACCAACAAACAGGGATCAACCAGCATCGCGAGAAGCTAAAGCACGTTTCTATTTCCAGCATGCGAGTTCTTGTAAAACAGCACGCTTCTTGTAAACAGCGTCCCAAAGTGAGAAGCCCAGGAATAACGCTGGCTATTAGTAACCATGGAAACGGAACACGCATGTAGGGCTGCACTTGCGAAAGACACAACCCCCGCGATATTACAAAGGCGCGCTTAAAATAGACGCAAGGCGACACTTTCTGGCAGCCAACTTGATTAGGAGAAAGTGCACGCGTCTCTCGGGATTTTGTTGCACGCGTTCTAAAGCTTTAATCATGCATAAAAATACATGGCGACCGCCCGCCCACATAAAAGAACGGTACTTTTGTTTGCAGAGAAGAAAACTTCACTCGATATTTGTACTCCAAGTTCGACATTGTTTCCAGAATAAAATTAGCTCGTTTGTCCAATTAGCTCGTTCGCCCACCATTTTGCGTATATGTTCACAGTACCTACTACGAACAGCATAACCTTTTTCCTTATGACGACAACCTTTCTTTTTTTTTAACTTTTCTACATAAGCGATCTACTTCCAATATTTGGTTGATGAAAGTTTTTTATTATTAGGACTATGTTTATTTGCATTGAAGTGATCTGTGCAGATGTGTGTTGTATGGGTTTAAAAAGGAGTTGGGCTATCAGTCTAGATATTAGCATAGTACCAATTTTAATCACTCAATAAATTGATTGATATGTGGAGTTTAACGTCCCAAAACCACCACATGATTATGAGAGACGCCGTAATGGAGGGCTCCGGAAATTTGGACCACCTGGGGTTCTTTAACGTGCACCCAAATCGCTACTACATTTCCGCCTCCATCGGAAATCACTCAATAAAGCTTTCTCTAAAAAGGCCCCGGAAAACTTTTTAAAATTGGTCAGGAGATGCTGCCGATCGGTAGTCGAGGCTCTCGAGAACATGCAACCCAAATATGGAGCAGCAAGCGACCTCGAAATAACAATAATGAGAATGATTTCTCGATAAATGAGAATACAAACTCAAAAATCACTCTTCACAGCCATTAATTGAAGCATGGCGCGCACGTTCGTTACAGGGGTCGCCGCGGGAGGCCGCAACTTGTCCACGCGTGAGAGCGCGATCGCACTGAAAATCCACGTATCCGTAAGAAAAAAAAAACGAGACAAAAAGTGCTGAAGGTCACGAGGCGCGCGTGACGTACTTTCTTTCCCTGTGCAACACCTCTCTGCTTAGCTTCAAGCGCTCTTGGCGGGACGAAAGAAGACCGAACGCAATTGGAGCGTGCTACAAATCTTAGTAACTGCGCTCGTATCTGACGGATTCTAAAACTCATTGCGGTGGTGAATTAGTGAGACAGCAAGCTCCTTTGGCGAATTAATTCCATGGCTACTTGAAAAGGTGTTGCCAGGAGCCCTTGGAATAATCGATAATACAGAGATGGTTTACTTAACCTAAACTAGTGCGCCGAGAATGTACCCAAGGCAACGAAGCAGTCTTCAATGAATTCTGGTGAGTGCGTGTGTGTGCTGTCATTGTTTACAAGCGAATGGTAGCAAACCGCTTGTACTAAACTGGTTAACTTCACTGCCTTTCTTTTTTTCTAAAATCGGCGAGCTGGTACGACGTTATTCACATCAATGCCAACAACTAAGGACAAGAAAAAGAAGAAGACAGCGGCACCGCTCCTGTGTCGCTGTCTACTTTTTCTTATCCTCCGTTTTTGGCGCTGTTTTTATGTTTCCTTTTCTACCTTTTTTTATTCACTAAGAAACATTGAGTTCATCAAAATACTGCTGAATGGACCACTTAATGCTCAACCGTCATCAAGAAGGTGAATTCTGCACGCGTGAAAAGAGCAAGTGGCCTTGTCGATGCGACTATACAAACGCACTCATACGAATTTGCATAAGTACAGCACTCGGACGATTTATTCGAGGTACTCAGATTGCGTGGCCGCTAGCCGTGAGGGTGAGTTAGGGTGCGCCCCTTGGTGACGCATAGTGACTCCATGCACTAGGCAGCCGTCCTGCCTCTCGTTCTTGGTCACGCCGGCAAAGCGCACCTTGCCATGCCTTTAAAACACTGCACTGACTCTGCGTTACGAAGGCTAGCAGCGCCACACCGTGTACCCCCCGCGAACCACAAACTGAACGACTATCTACCGGTTGTAGTCACTACTTGTCACATCTCAATGTACAACTCACCGGGAGCCGCACCGCGATCCGAGTATCGCACTTCAATCACCAAACACGCCTACATGCTCATAGAAGATGGTGTCGCTGGTGTCGCTCTCTCCCTTTGTTCATGTGTCAGTGTGCGCTAAGAAAAAAGTTATCATACACACATAGTGGGGTGACGCAAGCGCACACTCTCAAGCCCACGCTTCCCTTCCCATACACGAGCGCTATACCTCGCTGATGCGCTTAATGGACGTGCATTCACGGGCGAAGTGTGCTTTTATTCGTTCCAGTGCCGTTTCAAGGGAGTGCATTTCAACTCCTGCCTATGGCCCATTGATGAAGCCTCCACTACGAAAGCAATATGCTCTCGCCCACAGAGTCGCGCAATGTCACTGCACCAAAACCAGGATGCTTTTGTGAGATCGAAAGAGTAATGGAAGCGAAAAAGAAACGTGACGGAGCGATCGAGTGCTGCATCGAGATCGCCACCAGCCCGAGAGATATCGATCGGTGGCCTTGGCCGCCACTGGCGGTCACCTCGTGTGTAGAGATACGAGAGAGTCTCGGCGCGGCGCACTTTCGCCTTCTCAGGAGCGTTACGCCACAACACAACGCTCGCCGATGAAGGCTGTATACGCACTCCGCACACATCCGCGCGGGTTTGTAGGTCGCCATAGAACGAGAGAGACAGAGGGAACCTGGCACACCTGGAAACTGAGGAGGAGAGAGAGAGAGAGAGAGAGAGAGGCCGGACGAGACAACCACGTGATGACGCGTAGTGCATTTTCCGAGAATGGCGGCGTCGCCAGGAAGATAACGACCACACCACACGTGGGTTCCGTTAACTGCCCCGTTCTAGAATCGCTGCGTCGTTGGGCGTTCCATGATAACAGATATTAACGCCGGTAGTAGCTTTGTCCTTCCAAGGATGCAGGAACGGTGCAACAGTGGCGTACACAGAACATACATACATACATACGTACATACATACATACATACATACATACATACATACATACATACATACATACATACATACATACATACATACATACATACATACATACACATACTTACACATACATACACACACATACATGCATGCATGCATGCGCACACACACACACACACACACACACACACACACACATACATACATACATACATACATACATACATACATACATACATACATACATACATACATACATACATACATACATACATACATACATACATACATACATACATACACAAGTACGCACGCACGCTGTAGTTATTTTGTTTCATCAATAATCTCCGTGAATATGACTGCGCTATGCATGAAACATCACGCGCCCAGGAAAGTGACACACGAGGTCAGCAGGATTACATAATCTTGAGGCAACATCGCAGGCACTAAAAAACGTTCCGCCGTCCAGGGATGGAAATACTAGACGACGTGTGTAACGGGGCCATCATCCTGAACACCGTTCTGTTTTTTTAGTGTTTTTTTCGTATAGCTCTCAGCAAACAACTGTTGCCCCCATTGCTCCCTCCATTACCTGCAACATCGCAAAGCCTCTCACTAAAAAAGGAAAAAGAAACGCATTTAAAGAATGAAATAAAGAAGGGCAACGATACATAATATTTAGAGCACATTATTTCTGGGACGCTGGGTCCGTCGCAAGTTAATCACGCTATTATGAAAACAGTGACACACACCGCTTATCTCACGGCGACGCACTGTTTTCAAACAGCGTGTTGTTTGTTCCGCTTTCACAATAGCCGAGTCGTATAAGCAGACCCACGATCTCACGAAATGAGCCTACTGGGATGGATGCATGGGTTGAAGACACGTACCGCAGCGGCGTGCGACAAAAACGTAAGAGCTCCAGTGAAGCCCGTGTAGAAAGAGGCCCCAGAGCAATAAAAGAGTACCGACTTATCTACCAGCAACTTTTTTTTTTTCGAAGCTCCCGGCTCACCCCACCCAAACACCAGTAAACTGACATTCTTAACTCCTAATAAAAATTCTTAATTTAGTGCAAGTACACATTTCCACCGAAGCAACGTCGGCTGGCACGGTTAGCGGCGTAAGTATCAGTATTATCAAGGAACCATATTGCGATGGCTACCTCCTGAACGGTTGCAGCTGAACACCGCTTCGACGAAGTGACCTGCACACTGAGGTATTCCCCCGTCCTTACCATATACTGCAACGTTTACTGCGAGTTAGGGACATGCGTAGCCAGAATTTTTCTTTTGTGGAGGTATGGAAGTTTGAGAACGTGTATGCGGTATATACGCACGTGCAAAATTGCAGACCTCGGGGGGTGGGGTGTTTAAAACCCGGCTTGGAACCCCTTTCCCCACCCTCCGGTGCTGTGCATGACCTTTGGAACAATGTAAAACGGTGTATTTTTGAAGTCGACCATTACTTCGTAAAACAATGCGATTATGCACACAGCCTATTTTCCATCAGTACGGTGCAATGATGAGATGTTCTCACCTTTCACCGACAAATCAAGCGGTTCCAGGCCTGGTTGCTGCTGCTGACGTGCGAGGTGCGCCATCCGGCCAGAGACAGACAGGTCATTGGGTTCCTCCTTGACAACGACGACATCCGGAGACTCGGTCCCAGAAAGCGGCGTAGACAGCGATGTTGGCCACGGGTGCGGCGGTGACGACGACCCCGGCGCATGGTGGCCAGACGATGAAGAGGCCGTCCTCCGATGGGTAGATCCGGGAGAAGACGTCGGCACAGGATGGACACCCTCGTAAGCTGACAGGTTAGGAGCTGCCGATGTACCTCGAACAATGCTGCGCGAACAAACATTTCTCAAACAAGGTCGTATTGACGCCCCAAAGGGAATGAAGAGACTAGAAGTATCATCACCACAGTCCGAATAAAAAAAGATTTCATACGTATATATACCCAACGACCTCACTGTAAGCCGTGAAACTGCACTCCAGACTGTTGTATATGTGATAACGTAAGTGCAATTGGATGTTCGGTGTCACCCTTACTGTCACCAAGTGGCAACTGCGCATGTCGTAAACCCTGAAAATGTAATGCGAATCCCACTGCAGTGCACGAAAGTGATGTTTTATTAAGCTGTAATGTGTCTGTCCTTTTCCTGTAGGCCTTGTTGCGGGTTGTGTCGGAAATACAAGATCAAACTGGGCTGCGTAAGAAAAAAAAATCCAGAACAGTCAGCGCAGCTTCAGCAGTTTTCTTCTTGTCTAACGGCGGGCGTGGCGTCAGCGGGATAAGAAACACCGGAACGGCGTAATCCAAAGCGCCATGTTATGAAACGTGACACTTGCGAGGTACCACAAGGCACGGAACAACACACAGAATAACGACAGGCACCCTCCACAGAGCGTATTATATTGACACACCCAGAATTTCTCCTGTTACGTGGTCAATCAGGTTAATGAGCTATCGAAGAACAAATTTAGCGCAAAACGATACACGGACACGAGAAGGCACATAACACGTGTCCGTGTATCTATTTGCGCTAAATATAAGTTGTTCAGTCGATTTACCAACAATTCTACGTTGCACTATAGGATTACGATGCTTTTTAGAATAAAAACAAATATCGATGTGCTAATTACGCTCTATCATATATTAGCAAGTAATACGAAATCAACTACATCTGAATAGACACACGGGATGAAATGAACATCGAATGCATTGCAAACTCGTTCTCATGGGCAGCGGCGATCCCTAGCGATGCCAAATCGCGTCGCCAACATCTGAATGACGAGTTACAGGTACAGAGGCTGCGTCATTAACCTCAAACTACCCTTGCAAGTCTCACCTGAGAGTTCTCGGTGGCGATTTGAGACGACTTCTGGAAGAGCTCTCAGGGGCGACGGCTGTCTCCGATGTCCTGGTGTTGTCCCCTTCGTCGTCATCAATACAAACCACACCAGAATCGGTGGCCGCCTTTCCGGCCTGGCACTCCGCACCACGAGCACCAAGGCGCTGCTTGGCCGTGTTCGCAGCCGGAGAGGCACCGCACAAACGACGATGGGGCGATCGCCGCGGACGCGTCTCACGCTCACCGCTACAGACGTCCACCTCGCCCGCGTGACACCCTGCGCGCACCCTGTCTTCAGCGTGACGCGATGCGTCGGAGCGCGAGTCGTCCGTATCACAGATCACCAGTTGCGACTCACCGTCGTCGTCGTTCTCGTCGTCATCACTTCCACCAACGCAAGCACGTTCACCAACGAGGCCACACTGGGGTGGCTGCTGCTTCTGTGGTCCCTGAAAATTATTACCACCTCGGGCAGCAGCCTCTTGACTTTCGCGTGGCATAGACACTTTTTCACGATCACTTACACAGGATACCCCCGCTCGCGCACTCGCTAGGGGACTTAGTTCACGGGGAGCCGTCGTCACACTCGGCTCCATGTATCCAAGTTTTGGCGGGTCAGATGACGATAAATAAATACTGGAATTAACCGGTTCGGGGCAAATTATCGGCCCGACGAGTACACGTGGTTCACCATCACATTTCACATCATCCCTGCCACCGGGGTTAGCTCGAAGTTCGTCACCGGCACCGCACGATGCCGCCTCGTCAGCAGTGAGCGACAGGTTCACGTCCTGAGGAGCACCACATGCCGAGCTGTGGCCGTCGGCAGACGACTCCGTGTTGGAACTGTCCACGTCTGAAGCAAGGTCAATGGAGCGCCGCCGACGCTTGGCGTCCGGTAGCGACTCGGCACCGTCCCGCAGCACGAGTAGCCCGTTGTCCGGATGGTCGGTCGCGGCACCATCCTGCTGCTGCTCCTTCTGGTAGCAGGAGCGCCGCCACTGACTCCTGGTGAGCATCCGCTTAGCGGGCGCAGTCTCGTGCTTCTTGTAACGCTTAGAAGTAGGACCATTGCCTCCGGGCCTCGGAGTTTGCGAACCCTGCTCAGAGGAGGAACCGTGATCGGAACTTCCCCGACGTCGTCTCTTGACAGTTCCTCCGGTTGCGTCAGAATGCTCATCGCGGAGCACGCTGCCAAAACAGATGTCCTCATCGTCACCCGCAAAATCTTGGCGGCTGAAGCCGTTGGACTCGCAGAAGCTGTTTATAACATCCTTTAAGTTGCCTTCCGACAGCTTGGATGGTACCTCACAACTAGTAAATGCGACTCCATCAACTACATCACGTAGCAATTGCTTGACCGTAAACTCGACGTCGTCCGGCGATGCCATGTGCATGGAAGGCCAGTTGCGCTCGCTTGAGCGCGTTCTTTCTCTTTGATCCCAACGGGCGACCCCTCTTACGGAATTTCTTGCAGTCAACGCTGACAATCTTGCCCTCTTCGACTGTAGTGAACACGCTGATGAGATTGTCTAGTCCTCGGTCAGAGGAGACAGATTGCGCGTGCCCGCTGATGCTGTTGACTCCTCGGTTGACTCACTGGGTTTCAGATCACCTGCACCATTCAGCAGGGAAGACGCATCTTCTCGCTTGACTTTTTCGACTGGTTGGTTGCTTGGGTCCACTACGGATCCGACCACGTTGTCAGATGCCTCATCGCCGGCGGTATTCGTTGTTTCACCGCACCCTTCTCTCGTGTATTCCGCGCTAATTGAACGGGAGGCCCGGCCCGGAGACCACCGCAGGGCTTCCGTACTATCAGACTCGGCGTCACTGTCGCATGCCTTCCTGCGGTCATCTGGCAACGTCAGCCCTAAGTACTCTCGAGGTGCTGAAACCACGTCAACGTCGTCGTCACCGGCCTTTGTCGAGGGCGACGCCTGCGATCCTTTCTTGACGTCTTCAAGCTCGGCTCGGACGCGGTTGACTGGAATCCGACTCGGAAGGCGCCTTCGGAGCCGGCGAAACAGGCGGTTTGGCCGGAGTACGCAGTTCACACTCTTTCGAAGCGCAGCTGCCACGGTCGGCGTCACCGTCGTTACGACTGCCGTTGAGACCAGCGGGGCTATCTTCCTCCGCACAAGGTGGCCTTGCGTCCGGATAAGCGGGCGAGTCTAGAGCAGCCGTGCCCTTATCGGCCGCGCACCCGTCATCACAATTCGCACTCGCCACCGGCCCACTACGTACGACATTAGAGTTGGCATCGGGGCCGCCATCGGACGGGTCTTGGGAGATATCACCGTCAGTCTTTAATAGTAAGCCGTCACTAGGCGCGCACCCTTTGTTCGCGATATCGCTCTTTTCGACAGCATCGTTGTTTACAAGCGGTGACGCTGTGGTTGTTTTTTCGTGAATTTCCTTCCCGCCGGCATTCGGCACTTGACACGCATCGGCAGCCTCATCAGCAGTTTGCTCGGAGCCACGTGTTTCACTCATCTCGGCGTCCAGCGTTGTAATCACCAGACGCAGCGAGGCTTCGTCCTTGGCATCCGCCGACGTTGCCTTTGATTGACTAGGGGCGCTCGCGACACTAGGAAATGCGTAGTCGGGCTGGTAAGTGAAGCCGTAAATATCTGGAGCGGGAAGAACGATGCTGAGCGGCGAAGCTTCAGCACGTTCCCTTGAGAGCAGGAGTGGCTTGGCGACTTCAGCGTCTGTCTTCACTCGGGGCGGTGAAGGGCCGACTCGGCCCCGCTCTTTTTCACAAATGCGTACGGGCGGCGAGAAAGATCGCTCGGTGTCGTCGGAAGATACGTCGAGAACTCCGCAGCTCTCACGGCTCCTCCTGGGATCGGTCTCGATCAGAAAGTTGATGATGTCCGACAACTCCTCGCTCTTGTCGACCTCTTCGTCGTCGCTGCTTCTCTCGACTCGCAGTAAGAGAGGCCGTCCCGACAACGGCTCGACGTACTGCGGTGAGCGCGAGGCACCGCTACCCTTGTTGGTGCTTTTGATGGATTCGATCGAATACTGCACCTTCTTTGCGCCACCGTGGGCCGTTGCGGCCTCGGACTCGTGAGCCGATTCGCATTTTGCCGGTCTCTTCGTGCTTATTGCCAACTTAGCCTCCACCGAGCCGAGAGAGAGGCCGTTGGCTGGGCTGGTGTTGGGCAGCTTGAAGACCGTGCGTGACACTCGAGGTGAAGAGTGAACCGAAGCTGCGTCTCAGGTTTAAGATCAAGACGAACTCTTGAGCAGCTTTCAGCTCAACTTGAGGACATTTCTTGTCGAAGCGTGTAAACTGATTGACGCCACGACTAGAAGTCCAGCTGGACAACGCGTAAACTGCGTTCCCACAAATTTCAATGCGATGTCTAACGGTAACGACACCTTCTTGAGAGTTTTTCACGAAGCGCTGAACGGCGTGTGAACACAACAGGACACACAGCTTCTCAGCAGCACGGTCACGTCACAGGCGTTCAAAGAAAACCACTACCTGGTGCGCTCACCTGCCAGGAGTTTCTGCAATAAAAAAGCATCGGTCGGATTAATGAAGAGCTCGCAGTTTGGCCAACCGATATGTCAACGCCGTTTTATTAATCACACTATACCTTCAATGTAACGTTTGTACGCCTGTGCCTATACAGTGAGAGGGGTCGTAAACTTAGATACGACGCTTCATCAACGGTCCATGCTTCCACTGTCATTCAGGGTAATGCGCAAGTGTGTACCGCTATTACCCATGGCGTTTTCCTTGGATTGTTGGGCCACAAGAACATTTCTTGATGAAAGTAACGATGTAGTATGGTGATTTATGATAAATACCGCGATTATGCGGTGATAGAGTATGGAGTAGTGAGCGCTCGCCGCTTTTTTGATAGCGCCTTATGTAGCTTGCCTTGTTTGGACGCGCCAAGGACTTTCCTTGCAAGCCACATTAAAAATTCCTAAATAACTTCTAATTAAAGTCCACAGCTTATCACCGGGATAATAGCAATTGTATCCTATAGTCAGAGAAGACGACTGCGGCAATACTTAGGAAACAGTCTTCGAAAACTGGCTTTGTAACTTCGGCATAACAGCTGGAAAAGCTCATGTAGTCAAAAACATCATTCTGATTATTGATTGATTGGTTGGTTGATTGATTGATATGTGAGAATAACGTCCCAAAACACCATATGACCATGAGGGACGCCGTAGTGAAGGGCTTCGGAAAGTTCGACCCCCTGGTGTTCTTCAACGTGCACCCAAATACGAGCCGTACGATTACTGAGGGATCGCTTACGGTAATTTGACTGTTTGATGTTACTCCCGATTGAGGGAGTTGAACAAACTTTCTTATTTTCTCCAAGTAAAAACAACACCAAGGAAAACCATGCCTAGTGTTTGTTCTCTTAGATACCCCTGCGTATATTGCCTAAGTGCAAGATCTCGAAGTTGCGATGACTTCATGCCTTGCGGCACAGGAGCCCTTTAAATTGAGAATCTGTACTGATTCCTTCGTAATTCCTAATCGCATGGTAATATGAGTAAACCGCGCATGCACCGAGCAAGCCGCGCAACCTATTGTGTGTAACTTATGTGCTTACTCCGCATGTAGAGGAGATTCCGGAAAATTCAGGCAGATCACTGAAAATTTGCTTGGCAGTTTTTCCCTTCACATTCTTCACGAACTTTTCCCGATTCAGTTACTGCGGCACTACATCGCATCGTCAGCTAAGTGAGAGATAAGATTACACGAGATATCTAATCATGTTCAGCATCGTCCAGAGCACGGACGCGTTTGCTTTTTATCTTAACGCTCAACAGCTACACGCGCATAATAATTTTTTTTTCAGACAGGCACGTTGTAACCGCAACACCGCAGACACCCGTTCTCAACAATACCAACAACCATCGTCAACAAACTCACGTTCGCTGTTGTCGCACACTTCAAAGTGTTTCTGAAAAACATTCGCGTAGAATGGTAATCCATGGAGGCAGTACACTCTCGAGCCCTGTACCCACAGAGTGCGCGAAAAACAAACAGTAAAAAAGCACCAACATGCTTGTAAACGTGCGTCCTGGCCCGATCGCTCCATATGGTGTTCTTGTTTCGCCTTGATGGCAATGTAGCGCACAGCTGCTCTAGGTGAGAAGGAAATCAAAGAAACAAGAAAAACACGCCTTCGACACGCGAGCCAGTGCCCCTGCAAGCCAGGCACATTTAAACCGTATATAGCGCCGAGCATACGCGATCGCTCACGCAAGTGAAAAGAAGGGCGTTTCCTTCATTATGTCCCTTATAACACATAAACTCGGATGGAGACTAAAGTACGTTCTGGATCCTTAAAGCAGTCATAGGTGGCTCAAGGAGGTTAAAAACGTGGCTGATCCTTTTCTTAGAAATCACTAAAACTAGAAAGTGAAACGTGTTTGCAAAGATGTATAGTTGAGCGTTTATTGTGCACTGTTTCACCACAAGGCCGAATGAATGAACGCTACAGCAACTAATTGCAATGTCACGCAAACAATGGGCAATCAGCAAGAGCTCAGAACTTGCAGCGCACAGCTCTAGCGGAAAGCACGCACGAAATGATAATGCACGGCACGATCATTGATTTACAAGTGTCACAGCTCTACCCTCAAAGCGCACTGTATGAACAGAAAGAAAGGCGCACAAAACAAACGCACAAGTATGCAGAGGACAAGCGTGAACAACTGTCACAACTCTTACTTCCTCGTGCGCGAACAGCGTGCTCATTTCGTAAACTCTGCCGCGGCAGCGAGCGAAGTGACCTTCGCGCTCTCCCGAATCACGAGTCTGATAAGCGCGCGCAGTAGAAACCACGCTCCGCGGAGGCGGCACCCTCCGAAACGCGAGGAGACGACGTTGCGGACCCAATGCGCACTCGTCGTGCCATTTCGCTTCTGATGCCGAAAACGAACTGGAGCTTTGGAGCTCTGAGGACCGCCAAATGGTATATGCTTGCCGTTAGCGCGCTTGACTACATGCAAATTGTGGCGTATATAGTGGTTAGCTGCGCGCGCTAGCGGTTTGAGAGGTCGCTGACTCGACGTTCCGCGCAACATAATTTGTCTATCGTTTATTGCTTGGCAATCTGTTAGTATATATTTTACAACGTCATATCTGTGATGAATATAGGTCAGCGGAGCCATGGTATACCCCAGCATAAATAATTTTCGTCTTAAGAGAAACCTTCTCATAGCCTTAAGTAATACCACCAAACAAAAGAAGAAAGAAAACGCGACAGATACACAACTGTGTACTTCGTACTAAGCATGGTCTACATGAGACCATTTTTAATACAAAACCAGTATAAATCACTGTCAACGGGTTAATAGGCATCGCGGACCACGCATACAGGTTGTTTGGCAGCCGTCAAGTTCAGTAGGAAGCGCGAAGACGTAAAGCTTTAGGCTTTAGGCTGCGTGAAAAAAAAATCCAAGAGGAAAAAAGAATGGTCATGAGGATAGGTTATGAGCAAAAAAATAAGAAAAGCCCAATACCTATGAAAGCTACACCACTAGGAATCATGCTTACAAGCTATGCGATTGTGATATAGCCGGCTAGAAGGCAAATATAACACGTGCACAAGAAAAAATTTTGCTTCGGCCCATAAATTGTTAAATAAACAGGCCCAGCTAGAAACCCTGCGACTTGTCCAGGCCACGAAAAGAGTGCGTCGTTACTGATCTACTGAAGAGCTTACACACGCAGTTGGTGCAGTAGAGCCCACTTGTCAGTGCTTCAGACACTGCGTCATCAACGAGCTCAATATCGAAACCGTTAGATAACAGGGAACGCGAGCAAGCTGAACGCTATCGCCTCCTCCACCCACTACTTTTTCATTGCCACACTGGCCATTACGCAAGAGGCTGATAGTATATGTACTGCACCGCTATGCTCCCTCACATTTTTCGCATGTCTCAGCGCAAAGGTATTCCACTCTCGCGCTCCTCCACCAAGGTCAACACAGGTTTCAGTGGCGTGAGGGGACACAAGGTCAGGGCACGCTTCTCGCAGGTACGGTGCAGCAGCGGCGTCAAGATTTAAGCAACCCTTTCGCGAAGCAACTCAAATGTATGATGCTTCTCGATGTGTGATCCCACTTCAGCATTTTTGTGATGTTCTTGATCTATTACCGAAGCATTATCTATTGAAGCATTTAGTGTTCTGCTTTTGTTTTTGTTTTGCTATTTCCATGCTCATGAATACTTTTTCTAACCACTTCGTGCATGGGCCTGTACAGAGGCCTACAGTATTGTTAAATAAATAATAAATAAAATTATATGCTTCGAAACATACGCGATGTCTGTAGTTCTATTTCCAAGTGCACAGTAAGTTTCCACGCTCTATATAGTCTACCACAGAGGCGTTGTGTGCACTGCTGAATGAAAGGAAATGCGAGAACGGCCTTCCACATTTGCGACCCTTATAACATGAGGCTTCTAACGTTCATTTGCTTAGTGGTTGCTGTCACTTTAAGGGCTATGGCTATTGTAGTTAGGAGACTCGGATTGCTTGTATTACGGGACACGAAAAGATATACATGCGATGATACACGCCTCACTTATCTTGTGGCATCATTACGAAATTTGAAATATAAGCTTATTCACACCTGTAAGTTTATAGGTTTACGTATACTTTATTAGGTTATTAGTTATAAGTTATTCGATTACGTATAGGTGTACGTATAAGTTTACATCAAAGTTTACGTATAATGTACGAGGTGCGAAACAGCTTCAAGCAGTGAAGCGAGCTCTTCAGATCATAATTTTAAAAAAAGGTACTAAGACTATCAAATATCTTGCTCGCCGAGGAAAGTCAAGTAACCCGATCTATTCAACGCTAAGATCTCAATATTATGTTTCCATACATCGTAGGTTATCGTAACTACTTCGTAACTACTTCTAGGTTGTGAAGTAGTTACGAAGTAACTTACGTAGTAAACTTGCATAGTTGTTGCGTAGTTACGAAGTAGCTACTTTTAGGTTGCGCTGTTTCTGCATTCCGTTATGTCCTACCAACTTGGCCCAAGTTTGCACGCTTCAAAACTATATGCCTTTTGCTTGCAAGAAGCACGGCCACAAATAATGACAGCTCACAAAGCACTTACAGGAATATATGAGGCCCGTTGTTTTTCTTGTTTTTTTTTTGTTTTTTTTTCTGCAGCCGGGTTCAGCTGTCCCGCACACGAAGCTGGCGAATCGATTGCAGCTGAAGTCCTATACTTTCAGGTGGCATCAGTTTCGAATCAGCTTACAGCGGAAAAGTAGCGAAAACGAGAAATAAAAGATTAAACCGCTGTCGGCACACGTGGAGACGTGCGCAGCCGAACGCACCCACAGTATGTCGAATCGGACAAAATATCCTCCTCACGTACAGATCGGAGACTGGTGTAACTGCAACCGCAGGTGTGGATTTCGTAAGAATCCACGTGCTCTATCTACCTCTTTTTTTTTTTTGCATTTCGACTGGATTGCCTCGATATCGTCGGCGTTGCGTGGGAACAGAACCCCACTGAACTCCGGATGTAAACCCTACCTGGTACGGAGCGGCATTGTCAACCGACACTCGTGGATGTACAGGCGGCGGCCGCATTCCCAAACCCCACCTCGCTACTTTCGTCGTCCCATACGCGAGATGAAGCAACGTTGCGTATAGCCGCATCGCCGATGTTCCGCAAGCTGTTCGGTGCGTAAGCTTCCGAGAAGATTCCCCGAACTCGAGCGTTAATAAGACAACACGAGCGTCAACGTCACCTCAAGAGCAAAGTATGGATTGCATTTTTTCGCGTTATACACGCTTTTCGAGGCGCGGCTGTTGCGCGCAAGGCCGTTCGAGTTACCAGCTCTTGTTGCTTAAAGTATCTCCCTCACCATTCGCAATACAACGGGAAACTACTTGTATGCCCAACCACTCGCGAACTGTTTCATCCAAAAAGCCAATTTCAAAGGCTTCATTTGAAACGCATTTCATAGAGCTCTCAATCTGTCACACTGGGATAAATCTGGTATTCGGCGTCGGAAGCAGATGCAGGAAAAATGGTATGCGTGCGTGCCTATAGGTCTGCGCAGGGACTGTTTATTAGCGGGGACCAAGTTTCATGTGTCTGGTTTAACGTCCCAAAACGAGAGACGCCGTAGCAGAGGACTCCGAAGATTTCGACAACCTGAGGTTCTTTAACGGGCGCCCAAATCTGAGCACACGGGCCTACAACGTTTTCGCCTTCATCGAAAATGCAGCCGCTGCAGCCGGGATTCCATCCCGCGACCTGCGTGTCAGCAGCCGACCTGCGGGTCCTGCAGCCGACCGCGGGTACTCGCCCGTGACCTGCGGGTCAGTACCTTAATTACTAGACCACCACGGCGGCACACGGGGACCAAGTTTGACGCATGAGTTTACGTTCACTCTAACTGTCGCTTTCACCGTGTCACTTTGACCAATCGCAAACGGCTAATGGCGGCGAAGAGCATAGAAAAAGGAATGAAATCGGACGGCTAATGGCGGCGAAGAGCATAGAAAAAGGAATGAAATCGTTCCGCAATTGCAGCCCTAATTTGACTTGCATGGTTACGCAATATTTCTGATGCACGAGCCTCTAAAAAAGGGAGAAATAAATAAAAAACAAATGTAAAGAAAAAGAATTAGGCATAACGAAACGGAAGAAACAGTGAAAGAACTTCATTCGGTCCACAATAGACGCGAACAAACTCAACGCCACCTGGCTCGGCCTACTGGGGGACCACCACGAGAAACTTGAAAGTCCTCATGCGGGCCCTCTAGACTGCCAGGATTTGAGAGGTCCGTTCCTAGACCATTGATGAGCATATTCGTTTTCCCTTGAAGGGAAAGGGCGACCGACAGAGGCGCAGCCACAGCGTGCGTGTTCTATGAGCGGAACACAAGGTGAAGAGGGCGTAGACAGTGCGTGCCGGCTAAGGAAGATGCTGTAGCCTTTTTCTGTTCTCTCAGCACGCACCAACGGTTGGCTTAAAACCGCTGTTTAAAAAAAAGAACTATTGCGTTGCTCGTTGCTCGAAGAATGCTCCAGAACAAGGCTGCACATATAAGACGCGCCTAGAATACAAGCTTGAACAGAAGAGTACGAGGCATTCTGGAGCACCCAGCAATATTAACAACATATCCAGTAAAACCAATGTAAACACTAGCACGGAAGGGCGAAAAAATTCTAAGCTTAATTCGCCGAGGGAAAAAAACTATGAAGCGAGTCTTGGAAGTATAAGGAAGCGATGGAAGCCACTGCAAAAATAAAAAATAAAAATAAAACGCGCCAAGCGAAGACGTAATTCGACAGTACAGCAAGCGCCACTTCGTTTTCAATATCACCCAGCGTGTTCGAGAGCCAAAAATAAACTTAGGCCCGTTCGTGATTGAATTCCCAGACTCCGAGTAGCGCCTAGCAACGGTGTGCCCTGCACTCGTAAATACATTAACATTATATACTAAGCAAGATACGGCATTCCTCTGCCTAATAAGCGAGACCCATAAAAGCAGGGAATACTGCGTTTAGCACGCGATATGCTCTTGCAAGAACAGAAGGAGACGGGCTAACTAATTTACGTTCACAATGCATGCAGCATCCGCGAGCTTTTCCTTTGTCCGGTCTTATAAGCAGTGGTGTGGATTCGATTATTACGGCCCTTCACCGGCAACCCTGTGCGGCCACGAAAGCAGCATACAGGTGACGATCTCGCTCCACGCATGGTTGTATCTTAAAGAAAACTACAACTTATACAACGAGGCTTGTTTTCAAACATTTCACACACACCACGACATTCGCAATGGTTTGGCTGTAAATGCGTTCAGCTCTGAATTAATAAATAATTGCATTTTGAAGTAATTGATACACACAAAGCATCGTCCCTCAAAAGGAAGGAAAAAAAATAAGAGGAAAAGAACGGCCGGGAGGTTAACCAGCCTATAGGCAGCCGGTTTGCTACCCTCCGCATGGAAGGGGGATGGGGGAGATGAAAGATAGAGCGGATAGAGGGAAGAGACATAAACACAGCACATTAGACAGCACACGCGCGCACACTCAGTCATGGTCCAGTCTTGTCTTTCGGGGTGTGTGAGATTGCTGTTACAGCCGCTTGTTCAAGTCCGTGTCGTGTAGGAATTTCAAAAGACTGCAGTAACACACAATGGTAACATTATACCGGGCAGTCGAAAAAAATTTAGGAGGATCTGGTAAAGGCTGTCCACAAAGTGTTATTTGCCACGGCACATTCGTATTCACCAATGGACACTTCTAGTATTCAATTCGGTCGGCCTCCTTTCTTAAGTACAATTTCAACGCAAGTTCTTGTGATTCGTACTATTGAACGTAACAATCAGTGTCAAGGACTGCGACAAAAGCGAAGTCTCTACAACATGCAATAAAGAAGCTAGTTAATTTAGATTTCATGCGACCGGAAAAACATTTCGAATCAGGAATCAACCAAATACCGAATTATTGCAAGAATCAATGAAACAGTAAAGAAATGTCAACAATATTATACCACTTTAATTTTTTACGCCACGCGTAAATGCAGTAATCATTTTGCGTAAGAGCAGTGCAAAAGCCACCGTTTTCGTCATTTGCGGCGCCCTATGTGAACAAGGCATGCCATCCTGTGTCTCAAGGAGAAACGTACTCTGAACCGTATACATGATTACGTACAATATCAACGCGATCATGGATGGCGACCGCACCCTTCTGGAAGACCGTGGCCGTTTATAGGCTGCTGGTGAAAGCCGTTTTCGCTCGTCTGCTTCGTACATTCGGGCCGCTTCGCGCTCAGCGCGCTCACATAGCATCATCCGAATTACCCGAGTTGCGGCCGAATTCGAGCGCTTCAAGGGGAGTTGGATGCCATTAAACAACGCATACGCTGGCCGGGATTAGAGGATCTGTCCGAATAATCCACCTTCCCGAATTAACGAGCATATACTCGAAAAGGTCAGCGTGGCCCGAGTACATCAATGCTATAGCCGTTCTGTGAACGAAGCTTCAACGGCCGCGTCGCGACGGCAGCCCCGCCTATTGAAAAAGCGACACACACGCACAGTTTCAAAAGGATTTAGGGCAATGCAACCTACACACTTATCGACCAGCGCTGCTCCAATGCATTCGTATCATTTCCGCGATGCAGATACCGGTGAAGCGCGCAAGGGATACAGAAACAGAGAGAGGTGGCGAAACAGAGAGAGAGAGAGAGAGAAAATACATGTAATACCGCGGAAAATTCCACACGCGTCATCTTCGCGGAAGCTGCTCATTCGCTTCCGCGAAAAAGCTGCGTGGGATATTCCACGTTTAGATCCCTCTTTTCAACGTCATCCGCCGCCCACGCCGCTCCAGTGTAGGGAAAACATGTCACACGCGAAAAGGAAAGCAACCTTTCCAGCCTGGGGCATGAGAGCTTTCCCATTAAACTTAAAGGAACAACATGCCTGCTCTGCAATCGTTCTGTATACCATAGCAGGACATGAACTATAGCGCCCGGATTTTCACAACATTCGATTCCCCATCACCGTTTGTTTGCGAAGTTTGTGCGCCGCTCACATAGTAGTACGCCGAGTGCAAATGAGCAATTATTAGTCATGACAGGACATACATATATCAGCGTATATAGGGGACGAGAAAGAAACGTGAACAGCGTAGCGCGTTAACTTTATCGTGCTTTTATCTTGATAATATTTGAATGATACTAGAGTGGTGCTTCATTATATCACGAATGAGGGGTTGTATTCTCGTCTAGCAACACTCGGCTGGGCGAAAAAAAATGCCAAATGGCAGTGAGCGTAGATTCCGCGCTGTTCGCCTTCGTTTCCATCGCAATAGTGTATACATTTTCTGGTAGTTCCATCAGCCACTCGGATGAAGTGTCCGTTCTCAATAACGACTGAACATCCACGGTCCATGTTCCACGACGGTGTTTACGTTGTTTTTGCACTGAGAAGCGTACAGTTGATTCTGGGGGACACCGCAGTGTATGCGGGCCCTGTTTCTTGGCTGCAGTGGTGTAATCGCCTTTCGTTTTCTTTTTTTTAGATCTGCCCCAGTTGGAGCGCACTGCCTTCGTGAAGCCGAGCAGCAACCACTAAGGATGCCCGTTGGGAAAGCTCAACCATGCGCCTTTTGATTTAGTTTTAAACCAGCTCGTAATTCAAGCTCCCACTCTTCTACGTAGTAGAACGGCGGTAAAAAACTCGCACACTTTGTAAATTCCAAAAATCGCGTGGCAGTTCGATTGACTGACTAGACCACGTTTTTCGTTGTTTTTCGTGCATGTAACTCCCAGTGGAATTGGCATAAGTTTTCAGCGAACACACATCAGAATGAACAAAGTGCCCTTCAGCTTTTTTTTTCCTTTCCGCTTTCATGGCCTCAATGCCCGGTGACATGTTAGACCGCCTCAAACACATTTCACTCATTCTTTTTCTGATGTTTCTAGGGGCGATTCCCCGAACCACTGGCTGTGAAATCATCCCCATCTTGGGAGCCATCCGACTAACTCTATCGCTGCAACAAGATGTCTGACGAAGGAGAGTTTCCGCGCGCACCACTGTGTCATCACGTGATTGTTGAGAGAGTG